CTGTACTGGAAGTAATTGCTCCTTATGAGATCAATAAAGTATTCAATAAGGCAAGATACAGATACAGATATCTAATAAGGCAGATACAGATACAGGTATCTAATAAGGTACATACAGATACAGGTATCTAAGAAGGCAGATACAGATACAGAATTGTTTTGTTTTGTTACTTTGGACGGATCCTTACATGCCCCCCCCCTGTGTGAAACAGACCCTGAGGCGCTGCTACAGCCGGGTGAAGGAACACGGCATCGGGAAGAGGAAGAGCAGCTACACCATCGAGCAGCTGGAGAAGGTTTTCGGTCAGGGAGGCTGGGACTCCCAGAGCTGCGCCCCCGTGCTCATCAACAGCAGCGGCCTCTACCAGGTAGGGCTGTCTCCACACCAACATGTTCAACTCCATACCGATACTCGGGAAAATATTCGATTCTCGATACCATTTTCGATACCACAAGGATAAAAACAAAGACCCCAAAATTTGACTGAATTTCGACAGGTTAGTGTCTTTGGTTTCACACTGACCTGTTGCTGATGTTATGGTGGCCCACACTAATGACCCTAACTCTGACTCTAATCCTAACCCTAACTCTGACCCTAAACCTAACCCTAACCCTAACTCTGATCCTAACCCTAACCTTAACCGTGACCCTAAACCTAACCCTGACCATAACTCTAACCATCACCCTAGCCTAAACCTAAACCTAACCCTAAACCTAACTCTGACCCTAAACCTAACCATGACCTAACCCTCTACCCTTCATATTTGTGAGAAATAAATATTTTTTGGTTAAACTAGTTTGGACTTATTGTACAAACCTATTTAACATCCACTATTTTAACATAATATAGTTTAATTCATGGTTCGTTATTTGAATTTCACTATTTTTAAATTAATGTCTATATTGCCATGAAGCAATTAGGATTTTCTTGCCAGGGATCTTCCTATTGGTGACATAATCAAAATGGCCGACTTGGATGTGGGGGAGTTGGATATCCATCCTTGGCTTCCTACAGTCTGCAGCCAGACGGACTTGATTAATGTTGTTATTAATGTTATTATTAGCCATTAGCCGCAGCTAGCAACTCAAGGCAAACGTCATGTTAATGATCATAAACAACGTAAATAATTGAATCATAGAGGGTATAAAGAGTATCGTATCCGGATACAACATTTTAGTATCAATACTTTTTTGAGTATCGATACTTTTGACAACCCTACTATCAGGACATGGAGTCGGACGGCAGCACCATGGAGGATTTCTCCCAGGAGGACTGGTGCAACCAGGTGCTGGACTCGGCTTTCCAGGAGGGGGACATGGACACCGGTGAGCGGGGGGTGGGGGGGTGGAGGAGGCCCGTCCCCTCCACCGGCGTTCGCCCTGATGTTTATGTTTCGTCTCTTTCCTCCAGATGAAATCCAGATGCCTAAAAGCAGAGCTCTGCAGATTCAAGCGGAACTGTCGGAGCAAATCCAGTAAGTCAGTCTGACATTAACTCTCCACGCTTTGTCTTTAAGGGTCTGACAGCTTTTGTTATGAGTTTGTATTAAACTTATAACGAAATCGAATCTGTCAAAGGCTCTAAGTGTGGAAGCAAACAATCGAATCTTGGTCAGCAGAGCGTGTTGAGTGTTGATGATTCTTTTGTTGTTGTTTTTTAAACGGCCACTAGGAGTCGCCAAAGCCCACAACTCTCATTTATAGATGTGTAATTATTCGTACAGTTTCTGATAAATGTATAGGAATAGATGGCCAGTAGAAGCCCAAAATTATACTCTCGTTTTTCCTCTGCTTTAGGGATCTTATACTCCAGTCCTCAGATTTTAGATGTTTCCCTGCTTCAAAACACACAGATACCCTGAATCCGAAGCAGCCCTGAGGACCAGAGTTTTTTGCTCTTTTTGGCTTGTTGAATCATAGATATTATGGACGTCTTGATCCAGCTTTTTGCACTTTCGATCCGATACCGATCCCGGCCTATCAGAGCATGTGTTAAGGTTTAAAGTTATTTATTCTACCTACTTAGTTGTCAGACTCATGTTGAACAGGAATTTACTCTGATAACAATTTAATGGTTAGGACACAGACCTGTGGGTTTTTAGATGCTAATGCTAATGCTAATGCTCGTGTGGGATCGGACTTCAAAATAAAACTGGATCGGGAGTCTGGATCCGGACAACAAAGCGTGCGCACGGTCAAACGGTCATTTCTTATCAACAGGCAAAGTGTGAAAAAAAATGACTCGGTCATGTTTTTGTGGGCCGCCTCAGTCTGAATCCAGGAGATAAATCAGGAGGTTTCAGGAGTGGGTAGTTTCTGACGTCATTAGCTCTAGCTCATTATAATATTCCAGCCTTTCACCTGCATGTTGCCCCCCCC